GCAGAATCATCAAAACATAAAACGAGAAAATGATGTATTGTGGAAGAAACAGACAATTGGACAATTGTAAAGTTAAAGTAAATATAAAAATACACCAGCATGGCTAGATAAAAGCTTCAAAAGTCTAGCACGATTTTGTAAGAAAACCAGCATTAAAAAAAAAATCTTGTATTTTCTAAATGCCTTTTCTCCAGTCAACTGATTTTTCTCCATAGTGGAAAACATTTTCAGTAAAACACAAATACATATATGAAAGGTAGATATTCACAAGAGTATTTGACATCTTTATCAACAGCAGTGAAAGTCCAATGAGATCATGTTATGATAGATAACTAATTCTGAAGAAAAGTAAATTACCTGCTGTATTGATATTAGACTATGCTCGTCTTTGTAGTATAGAGAATGTGTTGGATCCAACTTAATCAGATCGGTGTAAAGTTGAAGAACTTCTTCAGTGTTAGATATTCTTCCCTCATGTTGAGATGATAACAAATCAAGAGCAGTCAAAAGTCTTGCAAGTGTAAGCTTTCCAATTTTACTAAAAAGAAAAGGGTACACATTATCTTAGAATTAAACAGAGACAAAAACATGGGAATAAAACATCCAATGTGGGATTTCAAATCATAAATTTATCTATTTAATAAATAAACCTTACCAATCATACTCTGACAATAAGTCCCGAAATTGAGTTATTTCTTCCCCAATTTCCTCAGCGTGCCAATTGGAAGTTGTTGGAATATGGTGATTTTGAACGGCAGAAAGAATGGGATCTGACTCCTGAAAATGATCAATTTTATGGAAATTTGTATTCTTCCATGTAGTCCTTTTCCCACCCTGTCCTTCAGAATGTTTAATAGATGCAGTCTGTACAAACACTTTAAAGGAAATTTGGGAAGGATCACCATAATGATTTTCATTAGAAGATACAATACCCTCAGAATGTCCAATGCAGATATCTACCGAATAGGTTTTTGACGATTGAAGCTCCATATTTCCAAGGTTTAGATATACAACCCAAACTTTAGCAGTATTCGAATTGCTCATGGAAAGTGGTTTCCAAACAAGTTCCTCCTCTAAAAGTTCAGATTTAATAGACACTGTGGATGAGTTTATTCCTTCTACAGCTAGATTGAAATTAAGAATGACCGGTAGAGTTGCAGTGTCTGATAGTGTACCGTTCAGAAGAGACAAATGACAACCTTGAAGGCTGTTGTCCCCAATTAGTGTTATACTAGATCCATGGGATGGCCAAGACGAAACAAGAAGAGGAGCATCAGTTTTCACGGTTTGATCAATAAGCCAAAGATGATAAAACCAGCCACTCTGATCATCTGGATCAGTAAAAATAGCATTGTGAACATGTTCAAACTCCTCTTCCAAAAATTTTTCTTTCGGGAAATATCTCTCAGCCTTTCTTTTCAGCAAATTAGATAAAAGCACACTGAAAAATTCCAAATGCAATATACATTAGTAAAATTAGTTGATACACCTTTCTCAGCCTTTTTATTTAGATTAATAAATTTGGTTGATCAAGACAAGTAAAATTTTAACCTTGAAATAAAGTCCTAAAGAAAGGAGTTGGTTCAAATAAACACTATGCAAAAGCCTTCAATGGAAAAAAGGGTTTCCCACTTATGAAGGGCAAGAGCAGTATTAGTACTTAGTGCATACAGATACACAAACTTTTTCCTACAATGTCAAAATATCTCTGGAATGATGAAAGTCATTGCATCATGATGATCGTTTAAGGAAAAAGGACAGTTTCATATTTCGATAGAACGTGGCATGTAACAATATCAAGCAACAAAAGGGCTAATTTTTTGAAGTACACGCATCCAATGATATGCTTTCAGTTTTTTTCACTTACAGGAGAATCTTGTAGAATGCTTCAAATTAGCAGCTAATTGGTTCTTATTGACATGAAATCAAACCATTTTCTTGGTCACAATTGATCAAGCATAGATATCAAAAGTGCACCTCGAAGGCTCACATGGAAAACATTTAATTATGTAGAGTTGTTAAATGCCAATGCTTATTTCAAGGACATAACCTAAGAACAAAACAAATATATGTAGACAAAGATGTACAAGACGAAGATACAATTTTATTCCTGACATTCAATTTCATGCCTTTTCAGATAAGCATACAAACACAAGCAAAACAGTCCGATGTCAATTCAAAAGTTCTGAAAAACACACTTATGTAATTCATGTAATTAAATAATTGGCTCCATACAGAAAAAGCACACAGCCAGCAAGCACAAGAATGTCCCTTTGAACGAGTAAATCTCTAGTTATAACTACCTACGATTGTGCCATGCAGAGTAGTTACTGAAATTAGCTCCTATAACTTCCTCCGTGTATTTCAACTCATCCTCATCAGATCGTTTCATCAGTTCGGTAACAAACCTGGAAGTAATATCAACGCAAAAAAGGAAACCAACATAACCAGTTTAGTTTAGCATTCGGGAGGAGGTAAACAGAATTATTCCGCAAAACTGCACTTTAAACGTGTTTTTTTTTCTTCAAAATGCCAGAATTAAATTTTCAACTACTAATAACAAACAAGAGAAACAAAAATTTCTCAAATTGAATCATTTTCTTTCTCTGGTTGAAAAGAGAACACCAAAAGGAAAAGCAGTATTGAACCTTCGGTAATTCCACGCGTGGAAATTTCGAGGATCGGCCTTCTGAAAACCATTCAGAAGGCGCATTTCGTTGTCGATGGACGAATGCCCCTTGCTGAGCACCCATTTTCTATGATGCCACGCGCCGTAAGACTTGAAATTCTTCCTCAGCGCAATCTCCACCTAAAGCATTTTAAACAAAATAGCAAACTCTAGCAAATCGATTCACAGGAAAAAAAATTAAACTAATTATTTATTCAAATAATTGAACCGCAATAAGTGAAAGTGAACACGCACGAGTTTGAGCTCGCCTTGGAAGATAGAATGAGGATCGGAATCGGAGTTAGTGAGGTGGTGTTGAACCGCGAGTTTTCTGTAATTCCAAGCTGTGTAACACTCTGGATTAACTTCTAGAAGCTTCGCACTCACATCTAGCGCTTCCTTGCTATATCTGCAATCAACCAGATTTGCACAATTTGAATTAATCGAAGGAGAAGAGAAAGAGAAAGAGAGAGAGTCGAAGGAAGAAGAAGCAACATGCGATTGTGGTGATTGGCAAGAAACTGAGCTTGCAGTGAACGAAGCTTTTCAGTCTTCGCTGATAAAACAGTTTCATCTTCTTGCTTCAGCGCTTTGCGAGGCCTACCGTGCATTCTCAAACGTAATTCACACTTCTCTGCCCTTCGCCGTCGTTTTGAGTTCTAGTGTTTGGGCAGATCTCATTGTTTTCTGATAATTAATAATTAGTAATAGAGGCTTGTACCCAGTGGTGGGTTTAGAGTTTGTGTAATTTCCAAAATAATGTTTTGAATCTCTCATAAAGTATTATTCAGAATATATTAAAAGAATCTTGTATTGATATTGTGAACAAAAATAAAATAAAAAATGAGAATTTCAAGATGTATTTCGAAATTAAACTTTAGTTATGAAATCCAATCATAAAAAAATCTCACTTTAGAGTTTAAGATATCTCAGAAAACACCAAAGACCTTTCTGTTATTATTTTGGAAAATGAATTTAAAAAAATATATTGAAAATAAAAGAAATTGCTGTTTAGAAATGTATCTTAGAATATATTTTAAATTATCCTAAAAAATTTTAATTATATTTTCTAGAGTGTTTTGTGATTTATAAAGACTTTTAGATTGAAAGGTGTAAAAATTTAAAATGTCATTTTTTTTTGTTCTGCATTTTAGTTATATTATTTATATTTTAATTTTATAAGATTATACATTAATTTAAAAATACGAAACATATTTGACAACTTTGAAGAATTTATTTTTCTTAAGAACAAAATTTACATAAAAGATTTTAATGAATTTTTTTATCTCTCAAGGTATTTAAGGATTGAATTATTTTATCTTCATTCGTTTACTTAGATTGAATGGTACATGCAAATACACCTATTTATTTCACAATACATGTTAAACAATGAGTGGTAAAAATAAAAATTATCAAAATTACATATTTTACATTAATTATTAAATATATTAATAAAATTAAAGTTCAAATATTATTTATTTTTAAGAGAAAAAGTCATAATTTATGTCTGGAAAGCATCTAGTATTTTTATTATTATTTACACATAATAAAAAAATAGAAAAATATTAAATATTTACTACAAATTAATATTATTCAAAATAATGATTTGGCTATTACATTATTTTTTATGTCATCTCAATATACTTAAATTTGTATGAGATTAATATATAACTTATTATGATAAATTATAAACCGTACACTCAATAAAATATCTAAATAAACTTTTTAAATTAAAAGTAATATTGAGTCAAAACATACACGTGATTCATTAAATATTTACATAATAAAGGGTAAATATTTAATTTTAAAAAATCATAAGTAACAAGTAATCTTGATTAAAACCGATAAACATTCATTACTCACATTATTCATTACTCACATTATTCATTACTCACATTATGATCTTTCTCAGTTTCTTTTATAAATCCTTCTACCACCTTTTTCTTAGTGAATTTTTTCCTTAAATGTATGACTTAAGTTTGTTAAAATTTAAATTTATTGATTCACATATTATCATGTAGGTTTAAAACCTCGTTTGTTTATGGTATTTGTGTGTCAATCTGAAATGGATAATCGTTTTTTTTTTCGATCTTAATCGAGACCATAAACTTGTAAAAATGAATCAATTAAGCCATCTCCGTTAAGTTATCACTGACGCTATCTAACTGTGATGACGTGATACACACATATGCATACATCTTATATTATGTGAAATTTTTTATTTAATTTGTTATTAAGTCTTGTACAACTGTCTAAACCCTTGGCGAAAAACCTTGCACCAATCAGCTTTTTATTACAGTTTGATGGGTTGAAGTTCTTATCTCTCTCACACTCATCTTTCCCGCGATAAATCCGGCAGCAAGAAGATCACACCGCTCTGCCCAATTACACAGGAAATCAAACTATACCCATTTATAGTACCAACAATGATAGAATCATTAAGAAAATAAAAGGAAAATGACAAGGAAAAAGAAAAAAAAGAAATTTGTTTGTTTTCAATCCCTTAATAACCCCAACAAACCCCGCTTCAAAATCTCTCTTTAAGATCCTTTTTCCGTACAAGTCCAGCAACTTCGAACCGGTCGCGCCGGTGGAAATCGCCTCCAGGTACAACCCTACATCCAACCCCGCCTTGTGCGCATACACCATTCCCTCCACCAGCCCCACCATCGTCGACGCTATTGTCACCTGATTCGCCAATTTCGTGAATTGCCCCTTCCCACTCCCTCCCATGTAGTTCACTTTCTCCATCACTGAAAACAAGGGTTCCAGATTCTTCACTGTCGATTCCTCCCCGCCGGCGAAAATCAATAGGGTTTCGTTCTTTGCGCCTCGGTCGTCGCCGGAGATGGGGGCGTCGACGGAGTGACAGCCTTTGCTCGTGGCTGGTTGCTCCTGCTGTTGTTCACTTTCAGTCTTGGAAGGTTTACAACAATTAATAAGTAAATTGGGCACCTGCTCCTTCTCCAGAGAGGACATGTACACTGAGACAACAACATATAGAAAAATCAGATGATAAAATTCTTCAACTGGTTTGTGTTCTTCATAAGTTTGGGGGCTCCTTCTCCAGAGAGGACATGTACACTGAGACAATAGCATCGAGAAAAATCAGATGATAAAATTCTTCAATTGGTTCGTGTTCTTCATAAGTTTGGGGACTCTGACAGCAGTTATCGTTCTGGTGTACATTCAAGATCACATAGGAAGGTATTGGGGTTATGGGGTTTCTGCTTATTCTGTCATTCAGTATTCCCCATAACTATGTGATTCGACAATTCTACGAACAGAGGAGAGAAACACCAGGAGGGCGACTACCTCCAGTAACAAGGAGACGACGGTTGCCGGAATCAGGGCCTAAGGGGATCAACGACGCGACGATGACGGTGGATTAATGAGTCGCAACAACAACAGGAAGAAGATGACGGTGGATTAATGAGTCGCAACGACAACAGGAAGAAAGAACTAATTAGGTTTTCACTTTTACACAAACAAACGTCAGAACCGACATCGTTTAATAGGTCATTTAAAATAGTAGGTGTCATACAATTAAATAATATAACATAAAGATCACGTCATATAACACTTATACAAAATATAATAATAAGTTAAATAACAAATTTCACATAATATAACATATAAGCAAAGTTGGACAGCGTCATAAGTTAAATAACAAATTTCACATAATATAATAGTAAACAAAGTTGGATGGCGTCAGTAATAATTTAACAGAAAATAGCTTAATTGACTCATTTTTACAAATTTATAAACCTAATTGAAACAAAAAAACAACGACTCATTTGAGATTAAAACACAGATAAAAAGAGAAAACGATGGCTTAAACCTATCACATATCAATCTTCTTAACATCCTGACGCGTGACCTTTCATATGAGAGGGTGGTTAAGGCCGATATGTAATCCGACATTGAATCGTCAGATGAAATGTCTGTTCCTCTTTCATTCCGATGTGACATTTTAAATCATTTACATTAATTACTAAACAGAATAATAAAATTAAAGTAATACATAATTTATTTAAATTTTTAATTTAAAAATAAAATAATATTAAAACCTTAACACTAAAATTCAGAATAATTTTTAGTTGAATGAAAAGTACCGAACACACACTAAAGAGTTTTCATCAACCAACACATGGAATGAATCTTTTATTATACACATTTCAAATTTAGAGTTAAACTCCAAAAGGAAACTGCACTTTTCATATAAACTCAAACCCGTCCAAATCCAGGCTCCGTGTCGTGGACAAAAGGAACATAACTCAAATATTCTAATACAATATAAATAAATGGTGTTACACATCCTCATCAGATCACTCATAAAAATTATCAACATGCTTTGAGAATTATCACATCCTATATTTTACTTTCCTAATTGAGTGACACCCAACAAAGAAAAACAGTTGGAATCCTCAAGGTTCCTATTAATAAATTACCAGCATTGCTTGAATCTTATCTTCCGTGCTAATAGTTTAATCTTTGCATTCTAATAATTTAATACTTTAAGCCTCAACCCCCCACAACACAATGGTCTGAAACCATTTCTCCGTTGTATAGCTGTTTGTTCATCTCCACACTTGTTTCCAATATGTCACCATTAGACACTGAAGAGAGATCCGTAACAACAGTCCCAAGATTGTTCTCCTTGGAATATATTTCTGCTGACTTTCCATTTTCAAAAACAAAAGAACCCTCCACAGCATATGCTTCTTTATCAGGATAATTAAATGATATTCCATCCTCTAAATTCTTCATGACTTCTGAAGTGAATTTTTCAGATTTCATTTCTTGCAGGCCTGATTCACCATTAACACTTGCTTGTGTTTCTACTTCATGATTAATATTTGTTCCAATACCCACGTTTTCAGTATGAATTGGGCCTAACTTATCTCTGGGATTTTTCCTCTTAGAAGATTTCCTTTTAAACCGTGCTTTCTTAGGCTTTGGGGGATTTGAATTCTCATCGGCTATCGAAACAGTTTCTGCTGCCCTTTTCCTGCATGGAAGGACTGTCAACTGTGGATGGCCAACCTGGTTTTGGGAAGCATGAGATGCACTTGACTGGATAGCTAATAAAGCAGTTCTGGCAGCTTTAATCTCTGCTTCCTTCTTGGTTTTTGCTGCTCCCCCAATATAGAGTATACCTCCAATGTCCACCGTACATGAAAATACTGATGCTCGACCAGGTGTTTCATCCTTTTTGCACTGATACATAGGCATTGCATAGTTCATTTTCTGGGCATATTCCTGAAGTAAATTTTTGCATAATCCTGTTTCATGCTGGAAGTAACACCACTAATATGGTCAGAGGCAGTGAAGGAGACCAAAATGCTGAAACTAAAAGTACTAGATGTTCAGAGACAATACAACAAGCACGAATCTCCAAGATAAATTGAGCAACGGAGCTAAAAGCTCTTAAAAGTGTCAGATCAGATAACTACTAATCATACATTTTCCAAGAATCAAATAATGATTTAGGTGGGTGAAAATATAATCTGCAAAGTGAAGTCATACTTGGCCAAAAAATGTTCTAACTAAAAATGGTTATCAGTCTCGGATGGTTGTGTGTAGTTGCAAACTTTGAAAACACTATAGTGGGAAGTGGGATGACTACTATCTTAAATATAATAATGCACACTAAACATGATTAAAAGAAATTCATGATAAACAATTACGAATACATCATAGTTTAAGCACACAATAACAATCAATCTAACAAAAATAAGAACATACTAATGAGGTAAAAATGAAAGCTGGTGGTGAAATTAATAGGAATAGAACATTCTATAAGATTAGTAGATTTGAAAAGTGTAAAGGGAAGTGTTTTGCAAAATGGTCGAGGAAAAAGGTTTCAAAAACATGCATTAGGCCCAACCAATTCCCTTGTAAGGCATATTGAGGCTTAGATTCAAGAGAGTTCAACCTACATTGGACTTTAGTTACTTCATCTAGCAAAAAACTGCATTAGAAAACGGGAGAAAAAGCATACCTTTACAAACAAACAAACAAAAAAACAACTAAACAACATGAACTGCATTAGAAAACGGGAGAAAAAGCACCCGTTTACAAACAAACAAAAAACAACAACTAAACAACATTAACTGCATTAGAAAACGGGAGAAAAAGCACCCCTTTACAAACAAACAAAAAACAACAACTAATCAACATGGTTTCAAGGGTCAAAAAGGGTTTCAGAAACCTATATAATGGTAGCACCATATACTGCATGTGAAAATACACAATTGGGATCCACAAAAAGTTGATAAGGTTAAAAGACTACTTACAACAGGTTGGGTGATGGAGTGATTAACAACATTAGATTTGGCCAACTCCACCAAAGCAACTTCGGCTGCGGACTGTTCTGCTGCCTTACGATTGGAAAATCCAGGCAAAGAATCATACCGAACATCATTCACTATCACTGTTGACCTGAAAGAAGGTTCATGAGAAGGCCCTTCCTTGATAGTTTCATATACAGGAGTGGGCAGCCCGGCCTTCTGGGCATACTCTTGCAATCGGCTCTTAAACACATAGCAATTTGAAACGCCTGAAACATATAGAAAAACACATGCAAATAGTTAGCAGGAAGTAATATCCCAATCCATACAAATGGCGTAACAACTAAGCCAGCTCTGATTCCCCTTTGATTCCATGTTCACTCAATCTTTCGTCTATCAAGAAACCAACATCATAAGAGTTACACCAAATTGCACCGAACCCTATCAAAGTTTACATTCTTTAACAAACTATTACTTCAAACCTATGGATGAAACCTAATTGATCAAACACTCTTGATCAGAAAACACATTTCTCTTCAACCCTACATTTCTTTACAAAAACTCACCCCCTCATCCAGAGCAACAGAAAGATTCATGGGAGCAAGAAATGAAATCTTTGTCTCCAAATATTGAATTAAATTTAAAAAAATAAAGAAAATACCTTGAAAATCGTCGTTAGTGGGCATAGCCTTCTTTTCTGGTGACGGTTACAGAAGGATGGAGTGAGTGATTCTGAGACTCTAATTGGTTCACTCTAATATGATGCGTGGAAAAAGTGAGGATGAATTTTTAAAACTGTGAGAAGATAAAAGAAGAAAAAGAGGTAGTTTGTGTGTGAAGTACATGTGGGAGGCAATGCCGGAATCTGCGCCGCTCTCTTTTTATTAAGTGGCTAGGACGCGTTTAATTCGGGTACATAATACCCGATAAAGCCCATTCATCTGGTCCATTTGATATATATATATATATATATATATATATATATATATATATATATATATATATATATATATATATATATATATATATATATATATATATATATATATATATATATATATATATATATATATATATATATATATTATTTTATTTTATGTTTCCTTGTGATTTACAAAGTTCAGTGTATATTTGGTTGATGGTAGCCTCCAATCATAAAACCTAAATCACACTAATTATGAAATTTGTCTTTTACTAATAGTTCACTCTAAAAAGAACATTTTTGTTGATTATAAATAAGTTGGTGAAAAGTTGAGTTCTTTAATGATAATAATGTGGAAATATTCTAACTAGAATTACCACACATTTTAATTTTTATAATCTCACATCCCTATCCTTAGATATTTTAAATTATTTTAATGTTTTATATGTGTTGTATATTCAAGGAAAAACAAATGCATTTAATATTTCAATAATGCAAAATACTTCACTTTTTGTTATTGAATGAGTATAAGTTTTGTAGAATATATATTATTGTGAAATTGAGTGTCAACTTCTTTTCAATTATTGTACTAAAAAGTCAAACCAGTGTAAGGAAATGGCTCTCAATTATTTTGCAAAATGTTTGGATCAATGGAAGAGAAACATTAACTATGTGGAATCACATGTACCTAGCAATGTGGAGTTTAGAAGTGAAACACTATGTTGAAAGACAAAGACATTAGATTGAGATGCTCAACTATTGTGAAGATGAAAGTGACAATAATGTGTCTCTAGTTGACTTGGTGTGAGCCACTTGAACATTGTACTCAAATTCCTATTCAAAGGGTTTGTGTCAAAGACTTGATTATGAGATGCAAAAGTTTTGTTAGTGGATAATGTTATAAGCATTTTTGTTATAAATAATAATTAAAAAAACTAATTAAACAATTTTTAAAATAAAGAGATGGAGAATACATGAATAAAAAATATGTTTAACCATAAAAAATATAAAATAAAATAAAGTATCAACTCTTTAAGACATATTTCATGAATTTAGATAAATATATTGATGTAATGAGTTTTTCTTTTAGGTTTTATTTATTCTTCTTATTATTTTATTAACATCTAACTTTTTCTCATCTAAATTATTTTATTTAACATGTTATTTTAGTTGTTGTGAAAAGAAAAACTGGCTATTTTAATTTAAGAACCACTTTTTTTTATAATACATTCATAGTAACACAGAAATTAAGAAATTAATTTACATCTACTGCTATATGATCTCAAGAGAACAAAGACTTGAAAGATTTTTCAATGATGTAAGATCAACATCTAGTAATTATGAACATTATTTATTATAGATATAATTATTATTTTTTGTATGTCTATTTCTTTTATAATATGTATATGAATTGAGACATTCAGATGTTGTATCTAGAAGGTGACAAAACTGAGTCTGCTTTGTTTGGGAGTGAAATATCTCTGAAGATAATAGTATTTTTTATAACTATTTTGTTTACTTAAACACACAATGAATTAGATTGATTAATTGATTTTTTTTTCAGTTTCTGTGCACAATTTTGCATAGATTTATCACTAAGACAAGCAGAAAGATACAGTTTTTTTTTTTTTAAAAAAACATAAAGAATAAGGGTTTTAGGAAATTTCCTATAAAATTTACATGAAAAGTAATTTGTAAGAACTTTCTTCACCTAATTTTACAAATTGATTTTGTAAAAGCAACACTTCTCACCTTCTTTCAAACTACATTTCAATATAAAACTGTAATAAAACCCAGTTTAAAATCAATGTATCAATTAAAAAAGAAAAAAAATATATACATGAATTTCTTTTTGAATATTTGTTAACCTTCATACTGAAAACTAAACATGCTCTAAAATACACTATCACAAGTCTAAATGATGTTAACATGGAATACACTGATTAAAAAACAATAGGTAATTGGTTCATTGGTTATAGGAAAATATAATCAACATCTTGAAATAATGTCATGAAATTCTATTAAGGAATTAGTAAATAATCTTATAAGATATTTGAAGTTTGGGCTCAAAAATGCATATTGATTTCCAAATTTGAGTCAATTTTTGGGCTATTTCTTTCTGTATCTCTTTGTTTTTCTTCCTGCACTCTCATAAAATTTAATAATTCAATTTTACCCTTCATTAAAATTATATTAAAAAACCTTAAATCTAGTCATTCTCTATGCTGTGCAGACTACTCCTTCACCTTCCTTCCTGTTCAATTTTGGTTATATTGGTTAATGGTGTGTGATTTTTTATTGGTGAGAAGAGAACATTTTTTGAAAAATTTTTGAAGTTTGTTTTATCTTATATGGGATTGGAAGTTGGCTGTTCTTCTGGCTGGCTGTGATGGTGGAAAATGTTTGAAATATATTTTTGAATGTCTTTTGAAAAATATTTTTCAAATGTATTTGGATTTTTCATTTTGAAATTCAAAAAATATATTTTTAGATTTGTAAATATATTCTGAAATTTGGAATATATATTTTAAAATAGCTTTCAAAATATGAAAATATTTTTTAAATTATATAATCTGATATGTGTTTTCATTAATAATTGTATTTTAGATTGTATAATTTTTAAAAGATTCATTATAAATTAGAGAATGTAGTTGTATATGTTTTCAATATATTTAAAATGAAAAAATAAATTGGAAAATACGGTTCAATCGGCCATAGCTGAAAGGAGTGACAAATATTTCAAAGGTTTCAATATATGTGAAGGATTGATTATAAAGGAAAAATGAAGATTTGAAAATACGGAATAAAGAAAAATAAAATTCACAATAATAACTTTACCTTTTTATTATAACTTTATTAAAGAATAATTTATAGTTGATTAAATTTATGGGAAATCAAGATTTGGTATTGTGATTTAATAATTTGCAGGATAACGTGAGAGTGTTCTGTATTACAAAATTATAAAAAAAAAAAAAACTCATCTTTCATTTATAAATAATCCAGAATAAAGGTTGTAATGGAATTGGAGGTAGAAGTTTGTGAAAACACATAAAAAAATATAGGGTTAAATATGTTTTTAGTCCCTTAAGTATCAGACGATTTTGTTTTAAGTCCCTACTCAGAACTTTGATGGTTTTTAGTCCTTATTGTTTTGAAACTCTGACTATTAGTCCTTAAAATTGGACGGTGTTAAGTTTTGGTAGAGGTGGCAAACGGCGTTGCCACGTGAAATACCAGCTGTCCTCTTCTCTTTCTGCCACGTTCTTGATTGAAATCAAATTAACAAATAGGGTTCTTAATTAGGCAATTAGGGATCTTAATTGGGGCAAAGTAAATTTTTTCAATTGGAGAAATTTTCACGAGCATTGGAACGAAAGGGAACAGAATATGAATGAGAGTCTTCAACCTGCCACCCAGGAAGAGTCTCTATCAAATACTCCGATATGCTGCTAGCGTCGGTGGAAGTCGCCGCTTCAACACCAACCTTACTGACGGTGGAAGATAAAGGTAATGTTTTTTTATGAGAAACGTCGAAAAGAGAATCAGGGGCGGAGTTTGAAGGAGAAGGGGTTTCTTGCGATGAAGAAGAAGCAGAAAGTTTAACACCAGCGAGAAGGAACCTATCATTCGCAGATTGAATCGACATGTCGCACTCTCTGCACAGAACTTGAAGGCTCTTCTCTCCTACGACAACGCAGAAAAGAATCAATCTTCAACAATTTCAAACATCTGAAAAAACAGTTTCCTTTTTCATTTCTGTTTTGTTGGTTTAATCAGTTACTAACCTGACAAACATTGCAGATAGGGTGTTGTCTGGGTCGAAGAAGAGAGAAACGCTTGTGTTTGGAGGCTAGTTTGTTTGCGTGGTGGATGCACCGTTTCATCACACCCACCGTTTCTTAAGAACCCTAATTAACTTTGCCCCAATTAAGAACCCTAATTGCCCAATTAAGAATCCTAATTGTTAATTTGATTTCAATCAAGAACGTGGCAGAAAGAGAAGAGGACAGATGGTATTTAACGTGGCAACGCCGTTTGCCACCTCTACGAAAACTTAACACCGTCCAATTTTAAGGACTAATAGTCAGAGTTTCAAAACAATAAGGACTAAAAACCATCAAAGTTCTGAGTAGGGACTAAAAACAAAATCGTCTGATACTTAAGGGACTAAAAACATATTTAACCCAAAAATATATGTATCATTATCATTGTAGTTTTGGATAACATTCGTAATTAGAAGTAAGTAAATTAATTTTTAATTTCATCTTCCTAAGTTAAGTTCAATAAAAGAGTTATGGATCACCATTAAAAAAGGCAAAAAAAAAATTATATTTCATTAAACCTTAATCTTTTTTCACATAGTTCTAATGAATGTGTTGTATTGGAATAAGTTGTAACATCCCAGAATATATAGAAGCATATAATATAGTGAGTCCACATTCATTCATATAAAAGAGGACAGTCATATAAAAGAGAACAGTTAGAGTAGACTGTAAATAAGGTAATTAAGCTTACAGTGATCCCAAATTGAGACATGATTTAAAACTTAAACGCAAATAGAGTATTTCAGAAGGATAGGAATCACTGGGAAAATCCTCAACAACTAAATAGTAATTCAAAATACAAGAAATACTAAGAGAATCCTAAGGAGACTATGCAGCAACATCGTCTCCCTCCAAAGCCTGCTCCAGAGGCACCTCATCCATCTTTGCTCACATCCAAGTGGATGATCATTGCAAAAGAAAGCATACCCAAGCAAACACAAACACACAAGCAAGGGTGAGCTAGATATAAAAATCATGTTATAACAGTCATAGGCAACATGAAAGTAAAGACAGATATACTATAATATACAAACATGACTTGTGGCACTTAAACTTGACTCGTCCGGACTTAGAATGATTGCCGAGCTATGGCGGGTCATGCACTCATGGTGGCCTCTACTGCTTTGCAAAGCCATTGCCAATGGGTTTCACCTTACTACACTCACGAGGTTAGTCCGTTATCACTCACATTGGGCCATACTGGAAGCACCCAAGACTAGGGCCTCCTGCTACTACTCACGACATGATTCAATCCTCTCTACTTGAGAATGATTGACCATTGTAGTTTCAGGATAACCCCCAAGACTGAGCTACCATGCAAATCATTCTAAACACTGAGGGAACCACCATGTATCCCCCTTTGAGGATCATGGAATTACGTCCCATACTGATACTTTTCACTTTAACACCAACATGATATTGCACACATAAGCCCTTAAAGCAACTGGAACAATTAAGTAAAATAACATACTGGAATAAATAGGAATATAGGCCGAACGAAAAACATCAACACATAATGAGCAAGACCGAACGATATCTCACTTCCCAAAGGACAGGACCGAACGGTCCATAAAAGGTAAGACTGAAGAAGTGACCGAACACTATTTAAGACCATCCACTAAGACCAAACGCTACCAAGACCACCCACTAAGACCAAAGCTACTACGATCGATCGCTACTTGAGAGACTGAACGCTACTACGATCGATCGCTACTTGAGAGACTGAACGCTACCCAAGACTGAGCACTATCAAGACCGAACCCTACCATAGAGACCGAACGCTACCTAAGAGACCGAACGCTACCTGAGACTGAGCACTATCAAGACCGAACGCTACCTAAGACCGAACGCTACCTAAGAGACCGAACACTACCTGAGACTGAGCATTATCAAGACCGAATGCTACGTAAGACCGAGCACTAAGACCGAACGCTACTTAAGACCGAACACTACCTAAGACCAAGCACTAAGACCGAACGCTATTTAAGACCGAGCACTAAGACCGAACACTACCTAAGATCGAGCACTAAGACCGAACTGTACTTAAGACCGAGCACTAAGACCGAACGCTACTTAAGACCGAGCACTAAGACCGGACGCTCAACAGCGCATGGCTGAACGATTATCAGTTCACTTTCGGCGAAACTGCATAATTCTGCAGAATTTCTGCAGAATTATGAACAACACCTAACATAACCATTCCTAACGATTTTTACTAACTTCTAACACCCTTAATTCTTGTTTTATACTTAATTCAACTCATCTAAATGATTCTAAACATTCCTACTACCATTCTAAAGTGATTAAGACTCAATTTAAACTATAAAACTCCAATTTTCCCAACTTAGGGATCCAAAACCCAATCTTACTGCTTTGCACCTATTTTGATCAATTTAGTGACTCAAACAAGTCACAATACACTAGCTAAGACTTCCCCAACAGCCCACTTGCGCTTTAGACCTCAAATGCCCAAAATCACTACCTCACTTCCTCTCAAAGTGACCTAAAACCACAAAACTCCAAATTTCTATCCAACCAAAAATATACCAGATTTCACACTTAAATCACTTCCAATTGGTTAATTATAGCAATTCAAACCCATCCAAATCAATTCCAAACAGCTCAACACAGTTTCATGGATTTCACATATCAACACATATATTACAACATACCCAAAACGCAAAAATACAACTTCAAACAGTGCACCAATTCAGAATCCAATATACATACACTTCATGCAAGCAATTCAAAGAAGTATTCTAGCTCCCCTTACCTTGGAGTTGAGCAGTACAGCCCACTAGAATGCTCTAACAGTGCCTCACACAGCAAGGACCCGACCAAACTCCGTTGAAGAAGGAAAATCTAATCGGATGGTTGTGAAGCTCACTGCGTCGCGGTCACTTGAGCACCACCTAATCCAACATGCAATGGCTGAATGTGAGGGAATGGTAGAGAGAAGGCAGAGCAAGGTTAGGGAAAATAAGAGTTCTAGAGAGAGAAGGAGAAGTTGGCTAATGAACTCAGATTTTGAAAGGTCTCTTCTAAGGTCATGATGTCCTTAGTTTTACGGGTCTGGTTACCTCAACATAAGGCCCAACTCTGCTCTTGGCCCATTTTTGAGGTACTTACATAAGTTGTCCTAAGAAATAAACATGTTTCCACATGTGAATATTTTCTTACTGAGATGAAACCATGCAAGACTTGTAGTGATGCTTTCATAACACGAGGTAAAATACACATTTTGAGTGATATTTTCACATAAGATAAAATACACATTCTGTATAATTATTTTTGTACACTGATAAAACAATAAAGTTATATTTATAATATGTTTGATGGTTCTTATTAATTAGGATATCTCTTTTAAAGAATCCAAAATATTTTGTAAAATTTACTTTATCATCGAGATGCACAAATATCAAATAATATAGACTTACTTAAGTTTCAAATTTTTAGATATTTTTAATTGAATCTTTATTTTTATTTTTTATTTATTAAATATTCAACATTTATATGTTTTTCAATTAAATTATTATTTAATTTTTTTTATTAATTAGACAGGGTAAATATTATCTTATTTGTCATTTTTGCATTTTTTTTTAATTTATAAAAATGTGAAGTTTTATGATTAATGTAGAGCAATGTTAATAATAATAGTATTTTATATTAATCAGCTAAAATCTTATATTTCTTTATAAACAAAAACAAGAAAATAAGAAATAAGAATAAAATAACAATCATTCAATTCAATTAAAACCAAAAATATAATTAAAAATATAAATTTTTAATTATCTAATAAAAATTTAAATCAAGACTCAACTAAAAAGACATAAATTTATAAACAAACTTGAAATTTAATCAAACTAATTATATATATATATATATATATATATTTGCTATATTCTATAATTTATGAATATTGTAATAATATAATTTATCCAAATTTGCATATAGTATTTAAAATGTATTGTGAAGAAATGTGATAGAAAATTGTTAAAATAAATGATCTTTTATTCTTCTTTTAATAGTTTGATAATTAATATATTATTTATAAATTTTTGAATGATTTAATATCTTATTAATAATATAAGTTACTAAATAAAATAGTGTATATGATTTAGATTAGAAAAAAATATTAAATATTGTTAGAATTATCTTTAAGTAATAATTATATCAACAAATATATATATATATATATATATATATATATATATATATATATAT